CTATTCTCCAGTAAACACTGCTGGTTATACATGTAATCTGAGTCTTATCTGAGGTCTTCAATGTATATTGCTATCAAAGTATCTGTTACACATAGAACAAATATTGATTTTCCAGTTCATTCCAAAAAAAAGTACTTATTGAAAATAAGAAACAGAATATGTATTTCTGTATCCTCAGAGTCAACATACAAAGTACTCAAGAAACTTAGTAAGAAACATTCATAGGAAATAATTGTTTTTGTTTTTGTTTCTGGGCAATACACAAATACCCAGCAATGCACAGGGTTTACTCTTGGCTCACACTCAGGAATCACTTCTGATAAGACATAGGGGACCATAAGGATGCCAGAGACTGAACCCGGGCCAACCACATAAATGGAAAGCCCCTTACCTGCCGTTCTATCTCCCCAGCCTTTATAGAAGAAATGTAAGTTATTATTTGCCAGGGGTGCAGTACAGCAAAAGATCACTTACCTTACACATGTGAGGTCCTGGATTTGATCCCAGGCACCACACACACACACTCTTAAAACTATCTGGAAAACTGTAAAAAAATCTCGAAAGCAGGCAGGAGTTCTATACCACACAAAACCGGAAATTGAGAAGCTCCAAACTTAACTGATGAAATTAACTCCAAGTTCTATAAATCATCAATTTCCAAACAATTGATTTTCACTTTCTCCAAGACATTAAAAATACTAAAAGAAATCCTTTTACTTTTGTCAACTATGAAGTTGCTTAATTAAAATTATAGCAACTACAAACAGCATTTGAGGCAAATAAACTCTTCAAATTGCAGGTGTCTACAATGCTACATGACTGATAGGCCAAAATATTTCATAAAATTGTTAAAGTTCATTTCACATAGGATAAACTACTGCTTTTAAGATCTCCTGTAATGTTTTATATTCAGCAATATGTTCATTCTTTCCAATAAAAGATCCTTTACATCACATACTACTTTTTACAATTCATTCTGATCTTTAAAGAAACTGGAATGAGATACATGGTGTGAAATCTAATTAGCTCTTTTGAATCTTGATAATGGGAACTTCATAAACTTTCTCAAAACACAAGTTACCAATATTACAAAAACCAAAGGGATCTTTGTAATCAGAATTTTCTTTTCATGTGTAAGAAAATTGCTTGCAAATATATGGTGTTAAAAGTGGGAACTAAGGGAAAATATCTCGCAAAGATAGACTAAAAAGTACTTAATGTATCTAGCCCATTTCTATAGAAAGTTATAGTAATTCTCTAATCTGGTTTGTGAATGTTTAAAAAAGTTTTTTTTCTATTCCAATTTCCTCTAATTGGTGTTTTATAAACTACTTGAATACTTCCACCAAAGTCAATTATAAATCTCGTAACTCACTTAAGAATCTGTGGGTCAATCCTTGTTTGTTGTGATTGTTTGGATTTTTTGGTCTTGTTTTGCTCTTTTTTGATGTAAGTATAGATTTTATACTTCTTAATTCATGACTGATAAATAGTAAACTGAATTAGAAAGATTTCATTTAGTCTTCACTCCCACACATACAAACTGAGGTATATTTTAAGTAAAAAGTTATCTTTTTTAAAAAAGGAATATTTTACTAGAAAAAAACTAAAATTATTTTAATGAATGAGCCCTATAGAAATGCTAAATTACATAATAGATATTAATAATCCAGGATACTTTTATCCTGACTATAATTTAACTGCCTGGATAACAAAGAATTTAATTTTATTCAAATGCGCCACAATCCATATAGGTAAGCAAAGGCAAAAAAAAATACTAGCTGCTATTCAGAAGCCACTTTTTTGAAATTTTCCACAAAGAATTCCAGCTTATGTCTCTCTGACAATGAAACTGCCTGTTGCTGTCACTAAAGAAATACTAATATTTAAAAAGGATAATTGCAGGGTTGGAAAGAGAGCTTAATGGAGCTGAGTGCTTTGCATGCAGGAGTCCAGGGTTCAATCTTCCAGCAAGGTCCCGGGGAGTAGCCCACAGCAACACTGGGTGTGGTCAACAAATAAAAAGCAAAGGACTAGAGAGATAGTATGGAGAGTAAGGTCACTAGCATCACATGTAGTCCCTTAGTTCGGCTAGGACAGATCCCTGACACAGTCAGAAATAAGCACTGAGCACTACTGGGTGTGGCCCAAAAACCAAAAAAAAAAAAAAAAGTAATTTTAAAGCAGAAATAAATACATAAGTGTAACTGAGTCAAGAACAACAGAAAAATTATTTTGATACTTCTTTTGAAAAGCAAAATATTTCAAACTTCCATTATGGTTTGACATAATTCACTCCTGGCATAAATTCTATTTCAAAAAACTGACCAACTTTTGGATATGGTGGTTATTAAGATGCAACCTGGTTAACATACCTATTAATCCAAACACAAGCTGTTAGTACAGCTCTTAACATCGATCAATTGTAACATTTTGTAACAAACAAAAATTTAAACACTGGGAAACTAAATTTAATGGAGATCAGAAAATAAATACCAACCTGAAATAAATGTAGTTGTGTTTTTTTTAAAAAAAAACTGAACAAATAATTTGGGGGAGGGGGGAAATAAGACTCTTAAAAATAGGCCCAGTTTATAACTAGAAATTGACACTTCAAAAATTAGTCTTGTTATTTTGTATTACATTTTAGCTACATCAAGGTTACAAACCCGAGACAAAGCCTTTGTGATTCATGTTTAAAATGTATATTCACAATCAAAATATAACAGTATTCAAGTATTCACAGTTCCACACGTCAGGAATGGTAAACTACAAACATTGTATCTAAAAGTTCTTGTCACTGTCAGGACAATCAACACTTGACCAATTAAAACTATTACTGTAAGTCTTCTGAATAATACAAATGTACCCAAAAGTTGTCTGTTCAAATACATAGTAACAGTTATAAGGGCTACTGGCATTGATGGAGGAGGGCAGACAGAGATTAGTACACCAACGGGTCCTTCAAGTTAAACGCAATTTTTCAGTACCGGTGTTACATTTAAGTATAAAGAAAACCCCATTATGCAAGTGTTTCTAGAGTTCTGAAATATACATAACAAAGAAGTAAGTTTCATAAACCGTAATCACTCTCAGTAAATCCTAGTAACTACCGACGTTTATTAAAGAAGTGTATAAAATTGGACAGGTGAAGGCGGAGATAAAAACGGTTAAGTTACCGTGTTGGAAGCAAATACTACACACACATCTGCAACCCAATTTTGATGTCAGCATCCCCAGAGACTCAGAAAACACTTCTTTGGGTAAGGCTGCAAAACAGTGCTTCCTCTTTTCTTTTCATCACACCCATTAGGGTACAAAGGCAAGAAAATCAAATCAACTCTCAAGGGCTGAAAAGCTGAACACGCTCACACACAAGCATCTTCTTTCCAACTACTGACATTCAGTCCACCTGTTTGTAAATCCATACTAACACAATAACACAAACCCTGGGCTGATTTCTTTTTTTTTTTCTCTCTTTTTTTTTTGAAGGCAATTAATGGTTTCAAGTCATTATTCTTCTACCTAGGCATGGGGCGGGGAAGGGGACAAAACAATGGCTAGAGAGGGGCCGGGAGAAAACCGTTTTCGTCCCGTTTCGTCCAGTTGGGAGCTGGGGGGGGGGGGGGCAGGGGAGGGGGAGGGCTGGAGTACTTTTCCTCCTCCAGCCCTAAAAGCCACCGCGCCGAGAGGTTGCCATCAAGCATATCCAGCAGGGCAATCTCAGATGCCCACGACTCGCTCCGCCCGGCAACACACCCAAAGCCGACTCACCACTTTCCCCCCCCAAAGGGAAAGAAGACGGAGAGAGCTCGGTGGGCTTCCAGGAGGCGGGGAGACGAGACATTCCCACCCCACCCCCAACGCGATCACTACCGCCCGCCAAGGATTTACACACACACACACGGACACGGACACACACACACATACACACGCACGCACGCACGCGCGCCCGGGCCGCCCCCCAGCCGGGAGCCGAGTCGGGCTGGGCCGGGTCGGACTGGCCGCCGGACGCCCCCGGCCCGCGCCCTCGCGCCGACTCGCCCTCACGCGGGCGCTGTCCCGAGCGCCGGCCGCCACGGCAGGCCCGGCCCCGGCGGCTGTCAGAGCCGGCACGGCTCGCTCGGGGCGCCGGGCGGCCGCCGCCGGCCACAACCCGGCTCCGAGGGGGGCCCGGTCGGCGCCGAGACAGCACCCGGGCGGGCGGGCGGGCGAGCGGCGGCCGCGGCGGCGCCTCCCACAGCCCCGGCCCCTCGGGCCTCGCCCGGGCCCCACCGGCTCGCGCCTGTCAGGGCGCGCGGGGCCTCCCCCTGCCGACAGCCGGCCCGACCGCCCGACGGGCAGGAAGGCAGGCAGGAAGAAGCCACACGCAGACCCCCCTCCCGCCGGAGCGGCCCCCGGTTACCGTCAGGAGCCCCAACTCCGCCATCCTCCGCGCTCGCCCTCCTTCCTCCTCCTCCTCCTCCCTCCGCCTCCTCCTCCGCCACCTACTCCTCCTCCTCAGGAGCGACGCAGCCCAACTGCCGCCCCCCGCCCGCCCCTCCCCCACTCGCCCCGCCCCGTCGCGCCCGCCCCTCCACACACTCGGGCTCCTGCCGCCCCGCCCCACCCCTCCGGCCCAGGCCTCCCATTGGCGGAGGCCAGGAAAAGGGCGGACCGAAGCGCCAGCGACGCCGCCCAACCAGAGCGAGGCCCTGGCGCCAGCGACGCCGCCCAATCAGAGCGAGGCCCCGGCGCCAGCTTCCCTCTCCCCTCCCTTTCCTTTCCCCGCCCCCTCCTCCCCCCCCACCGCCCCCCCCGCCTCTCCTCCCTCTCCCGCCCCGCCGCTCCTCTACCCCCGCTCTCCCGCCTACGGGGCGCCGCCGGCTAACAGCGCCACCGAGTCAGCCTCCAGCCGGGTAGAGCAGCAGCTCCCAATCGGAAGTCGGCGTCGAAGCCGCGGAAGCCATAGCGGAGAATGGCAGCGGGAAATGTCCCCGCCCCCGGCGTGACGTAGTTTTCCCTTCGCCCAAGTCTCACGGTTGCCCTGGGCAACAGCTGAGCCGTCGGGGAAAGAGGTGCATCAGTGAGTAGGCCCAAAGGCACGAAGGTGACCAGACATCCCGTGTTAGACGAGTTAGTTCCCCTTCCGGACGGCCTGCCCGGGTTGGGAAGAGAGAAAGGTAAGGGGTCCTAGGCCTTATCTGCGGGGACGTCTGGTCACTCACCTAGGTGGACAAGAACTGGGGGCTCCAGAAATCCCTGCCCTGCCCGGAAGTTGCATTGGACACTTCCGAAGAGGCTTAGAGAGGAAGGCTGAGACGAGCCCGCGCTCTCGGCGGCTCGGCGCAGTCCCGGCGGTTGTGGCGAAGTGGAGAGAGTGGCCGTCGCCCCCCGATCGGCGGGGCGGGCCCGGGGCGCCACTACGCCTAACAGACCAAGGGCCGAGAGGGCGAGTGGGCTCCGAACCGCTTCCGCTGGAAGAAGGTTTTCTTTCCGGGCTGGCCCGGCCGCGGCCCGCCCTCCCCCGCCGTCGCTCTGGGGTTTCCGGTGGGGCGCGGCCGCTGGACCAGCCCATCCCGGCCCTGCCCGCAGCCGCGGGGACCTGAACCTCGGCGGCCCGAGCGCCCGGCCCCGCCCCCGCGGGTGCCCATTAAGTACTTTCACCCTCTGACCTTTGGAGATGGGTGGAATTCGGCAGTTCGAGAAAGGAGTTTTCCCTCTCTCGGGTATAAAGCGGGGAAGTAGTTTGCCACCACCACCTCGGCCAGATTCCAAGTCTTAATTCCCCCACCTCCTCCTGTCTTCACATCGCCGATTCCTTTGTTTCACCTCTCTCGTGGGTTGGTAACCCTTGCCTGCAGATCGGGATGAGTGTAGACTGTCCTGATCCTGCATGTCTGAAGTTTCTTAAGCAAGTTAACGCTTGCGAATATTCATAAAAATGCCGTCTCAACTTTTATATGGCTGTTTACGAGAGTTGTCACACATTATGTCATGAAGTTCCTTCTGTAGGCTTGAATCACGAACTGTCAGTTATCTTGGTAATACCCAGGTTGGAAGCCTAAAGCTGCTGCGGAAACACCTGGAGAACTTTCAGGTAAATTAAAAACTGTTTATTCCTAGCCAGCCAACAAGGGTGCAAACCTACCTTTACTAAATTTCTCTCCGCTCCCTTAGGACTCATACTACAAAATGAAGTACCAGCCTTTTATGATTCTGTGTCCATGTCCAGGTATCCTAAGATGTGTAACTAGATTATTCCCAGGAGGAAGTATCTTTTGCCTTTACTGAAGACTTGTTCTTCTATTAATTTTATTTGAAATAACAGCTGCTAATATGCTTAGCTTCACTATTTGCACCAAAATGAGTTTCGTCAGATTCACCTATCATTTTACCTGTACATAATGTTTTTGGTAGTTATTAAAAGATTAAAATATCAGTTGTCTCCTATTTTGGAACGATAGATAATTGTAAATTCAGCGTAGTCTGAGCTACTCAACTTTTTCTAGGATTCCCCTCTCTGACATCTTTGCAATATTTCTCCCCTAATTATTATTTTTTTAAAAAACTCATATATAAAAGATGGGGCTGGAGCAGTAATCCAGGGGATCAGGCATTTTCCTTGCACATGGACGACTTGGGTTTAATCCTGGCATCTCAAATGTTCCCCGAACATTGTAGCACTGTAGCACTGTCCTCCCGTTGTTCATTGATTTGCTCAAGCAGGCACCAGTAACGTCTCCATTGTGAGGCTTTTTGTTACTGTTTTTGGTATATCAAATATGCCATGGGGAGCTTGTCAGGCTCTTCCGTGCAGGCAGGATACTCACGGTAGTTTGCCAGGCTCTCTGAGAGGGATGGAGGAATCGTAACCAGGTTGGCCTCGTGCAAGGCAAATACCCTACCCACTGTGCTACCGCTCCAACCCCCCTCCCCGCGCCCCCAGGAAAACAGCCAGGAGTAATTCTTGAATGCAGAGTAACCCCTGAGCATCAGTAGATATGCCCCCACCCATCCCCCAAAGAAAACCTCATACATGAAAGAGTTGGAAGAGGAAAAAAATGCATGTATCTTTCACATGAGTCTAACAGTTAACATTTTGCCATATTTATTTTATCCCATCTCACATACTTTTTTCATTACCATTCAACTATTTGGAAACTTTTTACAGACAACTACTATTACAGGCAACCCTAAAATTTCTGACATGTTGCAGAAGACTTTTACACGTAGCCCATCCTTCATTCTCCAGCACTATATACGGTTCCCCATGCTTCACCAGAAGTAATCCTGAGCATTGCTAGGTGTGACCTAGTGACCCAACCCCCCCTGCACCTCCCCTCAAAAAAAAAATGGGATTGGAGCAATAGTAAACAGGTACTTGGAAGTGGCCAACACTGTTCTCCAAACATGGTGGTGATGAAGATTTATCCTTGAGCAAAATGAACCAGAAGTATAACTCTCAGCACCACTGGGTGTGTTCCCACCTCCCTCCCCCCACCCCACCCCCCACCGAAAATGTAGTTCAGCAAAACATAGTATCATAATTACAAATTATTTCCTGAAAAACATATCAAAATCACAGATTAGAATTGCAAATTTGGTAACTTCTGCAAGACTTAAAATCCAGTCTTTATATTTTCCAGTTGATTTAATATCTTTTAAACTTTCTCTTTCCCCCTATAGAAATTCAGTTAAGTTTCTGAATTTATAATTGATTATTGTAGGTCTTTGACCTTAACCTAAAAGAGTCCTCTAATCTTTTTTGCCCCTGCCTGACTTTGGTATTTTGAAAAAAAAATTTTTGAATATCTTTTTATTTTTCTTTCTTGTAAAGTTCAAAGTTAGTACAGAAATTTGGTTCCTTTTTTTGCAGGGGTGGGGCAAGAAGCTTCACAGTATTTAGCCTTGTCAAATATAGCTACATGTATCAATGTCTTGAGTTGCCAGTTGAAATCATCCTTCAGCATATATATATTTTTCTATACAAAGAGAAGTTTAGCGTTTGATCCTTCTGCAGTGTTTCCCAAAGAGGGTGATACCGTCCCACCCCTACTGGGAAGTAGGGAGGAAGGACATCAGTACAATCTGGAGGGGTGCAGTAGTAATCTCAAGAGCACAGCTGCCGTGAAGGAAAATACTTCCCTTAAAAGGAGGTAGATTTCCACTTGGACACTGAATGATTGTTTTTTTTCTTTTTAAGAGCAGTTGGCCATATTACATTTGGAAACCTCTAGTGTATATATTAGTGCTCTGGACTGGCAACATAAACTGCTTTAATAAAATATTACTACTACTTTGCCTACACTTGGAGCTGATGCAATGAAATCTCCAGCAAAGTGGACTGATGTCAGCATAGTTTCATGAGTTTCGACTCCTGGCACCCTTTAAGACTGTTGATGAAAGATGTGTGGGCCTTGCAATTCAAATACAGATGAGTCTCGATGTTATCAAAGCAGATTCCAAGGCAACTGCTGGCCACCTGGCCACATTCCAATTTAGGCAATGTTATTTTCCCCCCTGAAATTCTCTTGCAAGTCCTAATTGGTCTTGGTGTTTTTTGTGATAGCTTTTTGGTAGCATTCATCAGAGCCTATTAAAAATTGCAAAATCAAGATTATACTTAACACTCAGTATATTACGAACATTCTCTGCCCAATGGATAGAGAAGTGTTTGGAGAATCTACTTCACAATCACCATTGAAAAATTCCCAAGACATTCAAGCTCATGTATTCCTTGCACTCTATACTTAAATTTTGTTCATGAAAGTGAAAGAAAATGCACTTAAGGGAGTAAAAATCAAATCTAATGGAAGGGCAAAACTCCTAAGACTAATATAGTGTGTTTTTGGACATCATGTTGAAAACTCAGCAATACGCTCCATTAGTCAACTATTTTGTGTAGAAAAAAAATTGCTCCTGTTGGAACGTGAAGTAGTTTTAAGTTGTAAATCCAGATGTACATAAGGCAAAATGATATATCAGTTAATACTATAGATTGTAGTCAGAGCTGAGTTTCAGAAAAAGAGCCATTTACTAGCTGGTGACTTTAGATAATTTACTCATTCTCCCCATCATCAATTGGAGCCATAATTGCTGAACAGAGTTAATTAAAATACATTTGGGGCTGGAGAGATGGTACCTCGGATAAAGCACTTGCCTTGTACTCAGCAGACCTGCGTTTGATCTCTGGCACTGCATATGGTCTCTCAAGCACCACCAGGAGTGTTCCCAAAATGCAGATTCAAGAGTAAGCCCTGAGCACTGTCAGGTATAACTCAAAAACAGACCCCCAAAAATGTATTTAAGTATATAAGTATATTATATATTAAGTATATAAACGTATTAATAAATACTAGAACAATTTGTGCACATAGTAGCATTGAGTATAAAGGGAATAAATTTAAGATAATTGTTCCACAAATTTAATGTGGGGAACTTAATTGAAAATTAGAGATACAGATTCAGTGAGTCTGAGGAGGCCTCCAGAAAAATCTGTCCTGAGGGGGTTGGTACAGATGATTTGAGGGTGAAAGCTTACTGGGTAAAGTATGAACTCTTTATTTCCCTTTCTTTGCATACTGTTAAAATAGCTGAATATCTCATACTGGGAATGTAAAGCTCTTCGGATACCTTTCTTAAAGGTTAATAACTAACATTTTTAGGCCTGCTTTCTGGTGATGAATTTCAAAAGAGCAAAAAATTATTAGAAGAGGGAATTTTGTATAAATAGGATATATAATTGTTTATGAACTTAATAGTAGTGTTTCTTACTGCAGTATACCAGAACCAATGGCGTCATCCACATTCACCCAAAGAAACAGTTCCTGTTCTTAAGTCTAGGCACATTTCAGAAGCTAGACACTGCACATTTTATTCATATGAGTCTGGATTAATTAGCCAAATTGAACATGTTGCAACATTCTTCTACTAGCAGATGCCAGATAGCAAAACAGAATAAAATCTACTCTAGTTTCCAACTATATGACATATGATGTTATTTGGCATAGCCAGATGAACATTATCAATCCAAATTAAGCACTTTGTTAGCATGTGGACAGCCACTGGTGTGAGAGTAAGCATTACTACTTTGTGTCGATTGGAAAGCTGTGTTCCCCTTTCACCTTTTATTCCTGTTTACATTCAAAAATGATAATTTGCATGCAAAAATTCATTTCATTCCACCACAAGTTTTAGATAAAACAAAAGATATTTTATAATATTTGCCACCAGTTTTTCTCACCCCACTTTCACACTGCACTAGGCAGATGAATTTAATTAAAAGGAACCACAATAAGTATTCAAAAAGAAAATACTCTACACTATCCTTCCATAAAAATCCTATGGGATTGCTTCTGGTACCTCTCAATTTTCAGAAATACTATTTTTGTTTCTTAATGTCTATTAATGACAAATTCAAATATTTTGGCATATAAATATGTTTCAGGGGTTCTGATTTTACTATTTGCAAAGTGAAGGCTAGAGAAGCTAAACAGGTAAAGCCCCATCGAAATGAGCCATTACTTCCTAGCCCTAATTTTGCCATATAAGAATATGGACTTGGTCGCCAGATTTGTCCACAGGGACAGAAATTTGGACTTTATGTGAAATCTTATGTTTTTAAATATCATTTCAAGTACATTTTAAATCTTTTTTATACTTGGGCCAAGGAGATTTGCACATATGAAGCCCTAAGTTTTTAGCACCACCAAAAAAAAAAAAGAAAATTTTTTCAAAAAACACCATATTTTGTTTTTTTTTTTCTTTTGCTTCTTGGGTCACACCTGGCGACGCACAGGGGTTACTCCTGGCTCTGCACTCAGGAATCACCCCTGACAGTGCTCAGGGGACCATATGGGATGCTGGGAATCGAACCTGGGTTGGCCGCGTGCAAGGCAAACGCCCTACCTGCTGTGCTATTGCTCCAACCCCAACACCTTGTTTTTTGAAAAAATTTTAAGAATATAATTTGACAACCTGGCTGCATTAATTTTGGGGGGTTTTTTCTTGGGGGAGGGGCAAACCCAGCGGTGCTCAGATCTTGGCCCTAGCTCTGTGCTTAGGGATCACTCCTGGCAGATTTTGTGGGACCATATG